TTTTTAGTAGAGACGGGGTCTCGCTCTTGCTCAGGCTGGTCTCGAACTCCTGAGCTCAAACAATCCACCCGCCTCGGTCTCCCAGAGTGTTAGGATTACAGGCGTGAGCCACCGCGTCCGGCCAAGAGAGCTCAGATATTCTTAAAGATACGGTGAGATACAATGGCTAATTGACTGATGTCCTCAGTTAGGTAGAAAGTAAACTCTTTGGGCACAGAGAGTGCACTCAACATCCTATGTTTCTCAGTAATAGAACTATACTCTTAATACATATTTGATGGTACTGCTACTAATGAAAAAGGCAGAGGTCTAAACAGATCCTCAATGTTGATTGCTATTCTGACTTTTAGCTTTTGAAAATAAATCATCCTTTTTTTATTATCTGCATAAGCTTTTCTTTACAATAAATATCTATTACTTGTTAAAAATTATCCATTCTCTAGAGTTCTAAAGACCAGAGAAAAAATTATGCCCATGTTTATATATGGCTATCAAAATGGGCCACATGGCCAAATCCCTACTTTCAGTTAACCATCTGAACCAAACTAACATACAAGTAATCACTTAGTTAGAGGCAATCTGAATTAGATACGATTGCCAAAAACTTTACCCACTTAAATGCCACTGTCCTGTGGTGTGAAATTTATAGACATAGGAACAGAAATGTTTTCTTATTTCAGACGCATCGTCAAATCTTAAAAATATCTATTCAGCATAGGAATTTGGTAGCAAAAGGCACAGAGATATGTCATATTATCTCCTTGCTTAAGTCAGTAAGAGTTAAACACCCAAGCCCCTAGTAACTCAAATGAAGAATCACTGCATACACAAACATGCAATACATGTCAGGTATAGATTCATTATTTTCCGAATAGAAAGGTCAGGCTCTACAGAGACATCTCAACATCCTCACCCAATACTCCTTTCAACCAATTTGCAAGAGAGCTAGTTAGTTTTTAGGAGTAGTACCTGTGACCACGGGGGGGAAAAAAAACAGAACTAACAGATGTCTGTAAGAAGGGAAGCCATAACCTCATTAGCCCCTAATCTTATATAAGAACACACCACATTGTTTTATAGAAAAAGAGAATCAAAATGAAGTCTAACAAATCAACTAAATATGTCCAGAAGGTAATTTGATATCATTAATATCATGTATTGAGTCAGCCTTCCCATTTGTCTTCCCTGCATCACAAACCAACTGTTTTCAAGGCTTGAAAGACATATTTAATAGACTTGCTCACCGGGTCTCCCAGGAGGCATCATTATACACTATCTGCCACGATGCTGAAGTGGTCTCATATTTCTCCACAGTGAGGAAGGTCTGATGAGTCTGAAATGCAATTAATACAACTGATCAAGCACTGTACAGTCACAAGAAGGAAACTGGTTTTAAATATTCCTCTTCTTGACCATATGATAATTTATCAATACCTTGTGTGAAAATGTATTTGCATTTCATTCAAATTCATAGGTGTTCCTCTTAATATTCCATGCAATGTCTTCAAAATGTTAATTTATCTAGTCTATCAAAAACCATGACATTTTTTAGAAATTTGAAAGAAGCATAATTTTGGATCTGATACCAAATTTTGGAAATTAGGACAAAGAAGAGACTGGGAATAAAACCTGAGATTTAAAAAAGGTGTAAGTCGAGCTTTTTCATGACGTGTTCGTTGATGTATATTCCAAGACTTTCTCTAGTCACCTCAAGATTTAGGAGGGAAAAATGGTAAAATTTCATCATCTTTCCATCTCCAGGTAAATGAATTATTAGCTAATGTACCTCCCCAAGTGAAAGAATTGAAAAAAAAATACATAAATCTTTCTTGTCCTGAGGTTCTAAAGGCAGTCCCTACATTTTGTCATAATGGATTCCTAGAAACCACATCATAAGCAGATTTTATTTCCCCATTGGAA